AGGTTGATGCTCAACTGCTGAGCCACACCCGGCAAGGCACATATATACTGTTTAAAGAATAAGAATAAAAATTTCTCTGTACCCAGTACCTTACCCAATACTTCTGAAGCCTCTGTAGGCCCCTCCTTGATGGTATCTACCTTCCTTCTCCTCCAGAGGGAATTTCCTGAATTTGGCTTTGTATTCTTGATTTTATCATTTTATCATCTATGTATAGAGGCCTGAACAATTTCTTACTTGTCTTTGGGTACTTTTGAACTTTCAATGAACTCATACTTTAGGCATTTTTTTCATGACTTATTTTTTTTCCTCAACATAATAGTTTTTTGGTCATATTCATCCTGTCGAGGTCTAAAACTGGCCTTCATTCAATTTTACTATAGGACTTGAATGTACCACAGGTTATCCATTCTTTTCTGATGGACATTTGTCTTGTCTGCAGTTTTCAGCTATTACCCAGTGCCATCATGAGCGTTTGTTTACGTCTCTTTGTGCACATGTTCATTATGTACCTGGTGGTAGAAATACCAGAGTTTACTATATCCCCACTAGGATGTCTAAAATTAAAAAGATAGAAAATATCGAGGCATGGAACAAATGGAACTCTTATACAGTAGTAGTGGAAGTGTTAAATGCTACAACCATGGTAGGAAACTATATGGTAGCCCGGCTGGCGTGGCTCAGTGATTGAGCATCCACCTATGATCCGGGAGATCAAGGTTCGATTCCTGGTTGGGGCACATGCCTGGGTTTCAGGCTCCATCCCCACTAGGGGGTGTGCAGGAGGCAGCCAATCAATGACTCTTATCATTGATGTTTCTCTCTCTCTCTCCCTCCCTCCCTCCCTCTCCCTTCCTCTCTCTGAAATAAAAAAAGATATATATATATATTTTTAAAGTAAAAATAAATAAAAACTATATGGTAATTTATAGTAAAGTTAAACATACAACTACCCCATGATCTAGTAACTCCACTTTCAGGTGTTTTCCAAGGGCTATGAGAAGGTGTGTCCACAAAAGGACTTGCACAAGAAGTTCATGGCAGTTTTATTCTTAAAGAACCAAAACTGGAAACAATTCAAATGTCCAGACATGGAAAAGAACAAACTGCTGATGGACACAAACTACTGGATGAATCTCTAAAACATTGCTCTGGGCAAAAGGAGCCAGACACAAGAGTACATAATATGTGTTTATATAGGTTCAAGAGCAAGTAAAATCGAATCTATGGTTTCAGAACCCAGAAAAGTAGTGGAGTGGTGGGTATTGACTGGAAAGGAGCACGGGGAACTTTCTGGGCTGATGGAAATGCTCCGTATTTTACATAGATGTACACATAGTTGGAAATTCATCAAGCTCTATGTGGAAAGATTTCTGCATGTTATTATATACAAATTAAACCTTATTCAGAAAAATAGATCGTCCCAAGTGGGGGTGCGATTTGAGGGGAAATGAAACAGTATATCCAACCTGTTGTCAGGGTTCAATTTGAGCTTTAAACCTGCCTAGTATGACAAGCAGGCTGAACTTACAGGTGTTCATAGAATCGTAATTCAGTGGTTCTAACTACTCAGTCTTTGGGTGAGAAACCATTCGAAAACTTTCCAGTCACCACACAAAATGTTGCCACATTTTCTGTGAGAAAGATGCTTTTTAGTTCCTCTTTTAAAAAACCACACACACACACACACACACACACAAACAAACACAAAAAAACCACATGCTACTGGGATATACTCATGTCTTAATTACATAATGCCAGATTATCTTCCAAAGCATTGTATTTATTTATTTTCCCATCAGTGGTGAGTACATGAGTGTTTTTAATATTCCACATCCTTTCCAAACTCTTAGTACTGTTGGTTTTAAAACATTTGCTCCAAGGGTTCATTTTAAAATATACATCAGACCGCCCTGGCTGGTTTGGCTCAGTGGTTACAGCGTTGGTCCTCAGACTGAAGGGTCCTGGATTCGATTGCCGCCAAAGGCACATACCTCGGTTGCGGGCTCAATCCTGGCCCCAGTCCATGCATGAGCAGGAGGCAACCAATCGATGTGTCTCTTTCACATTGATGTTTCTCTCTCTCTCTCTCTCCCTCCCCACATTCCACTCTCTGAAAAGCAGTGGAAAAAATTTCCTCGGGTGAGGATTGAAAAAAAAAAGTAATATAAATGGGTGAACAATTTTAAAAAATAATAAAAATAAAATATACATCAGGCCACGACACCTGTTCTCAAAAAAACCCCTCCCATCTGATTCATAATAGATCCTAATACCTTCAGCGCCCTCTGTGGCCCGCCTGTTCCTCTCCGACACTCTTCCTGCTTTGCTGTTTTTAACAGGTCAGTCTTGTTCCTCCCGGAGCCCTTTGCACCCCTTGTTCACTTATGGCTCCCTGTAATTTCCCTGCAACAGCACTTTGTAATCACCTTTGATAAGTTAATTGGTGTTTAAATTAAAAATATCTTTGCATCATAGAACAAAAGTCTGTAAAAATATGTTGAGTATTAACAGGTATTTTCACAGTTTTGACTTGTTTCTTGATAAAGTTGTTAAGACATTAGAAAAAGGTACACTTAATACAAATGAATGGAATAAACTAAATGAGACCTAAGAAGTGGCCTTTGATTTTAAATACTTAATTTTCTCTTTCAAGTGATAAGAGAAAGTTTATTTAGAACATTACAGGTAGTAGAAGAAATCAGAATTAGGCAGTGGGCACCTGGAGGGATGGGGAGTTCCCAGGAGAAAACAAGATATGTAAAAGCACTTAGTGAGGGTCAGCAGTGAAAGACTTCTGGGGATTTTAATGCAAGTCTGGGGACCTCTGATCTTTTTTAGTCCCAATTAGCAACAACCCTGCACCTCCATTTGCACTCAGTGCAAATTGAGCAGCTCAGGCTTCCAGGGACAGCCTGGTTATGGGGTTCCCAGAACTAGGGCTTTTGCCGGCTACTCTACTTCTGTGCTCTTTCCAAACACATTGTTGAAACTAGGGCTTTTCCTCTCCCCATCAAGGCAGTCAGTTACCTCAGGTGCCCCTTCATTGAGTTAGGATCCCAAAGAGTTCTAACATCCCTGAGGGAGGATGTTTCCTTTAGAGCCTCCTGTGCCAGCTCCAACCCAGCCCCTGCCTTCAGTGGCCACAGTGGGCTGCCCACCAGAAACCAGGTCTCCCCAGTAAGGCCGCTCGCTCCCATCCCTTGCTCATCCTGGAAAGTCACCGCCTCCCATGGCCACCTGCCTCACAGCTGACCCTCCTCAGGTCACGGGATGCTGGGAGCAGGACCCTGTAAAACCAAATTCTCTTCCTTAGATGTTGGGTGTGGAAATGGGCAAAGGGGGAACTGGAAGAGGCAACGACCTGGCTTCCTATCAACAGACCATTCAGACAATTTCATGCCTGGAATTGGGCCTGTCAGACGGCAGTAGAGAGTTAAAAGGAGCACATGGGAGCTAGTGTTGCTGGCCCCCCTGAGGATGAGAGCCAGAAGCCCTGGGTGAGGCTTGTGGGGGAAGCTTCACTCTTGACCCAGGGAATCCAGCTTCTTTGTCTCCTTGTCTCTCACCCCTGAGCCCCTGAGTAGTTTAGAGAGCTCATGGGCCTCTTTCTGTGCCCTGGCCAGTCACAGGCTTTGGACCACATAGACCTGGACTCAGATCTCACCTCCATTCTTGAGGTCGTGACCTTATGCAAGTTCCTTCACATCTGTAATCATTGTCTTCCCCCCACTCC